TACTGACGAAACATCTAACACATGCCCCTCTTAACCATGCCTGGTGATACCAGGTACCATATTGCTCACCCCCACTTTGCATGACTGCCTCACTTTGCTTCTAATTTTTATGAGATTTGCATGTAAGACAGGCCTAGAAAAGCATGGGAAATGTATTGTGAGTTATGGGAAAAGGGTCAAAGGAGATTAAGTCTCAGTGGAGTGCTCAATCATAGGTGGGACATCCTTCCCATGGCTTAGGGACCATCGCAAGGGAGGGGACAGATCGAGTATGATAGCAGAAGATTAGGGATAATGGAGTCAAACAGTGTCTTCTGGCATGACAGGACTACTACACTGATGAATTCACAACTGAGATGGACTGTATGAAACCCATACAAGATCAAGTCAGTTAACATTCTAGGCTGGAGTGGAACACCTGAGTTGTTACAGACAATTGATCTCTGCCAGGGGAGAGATCCAATTTTCTTTAAGGGTATATGGCCTCTAGTAGTTCAAATATACTCTAGTGAATGGCCTCAAACCAAGGATGACATGGGCAACATAAATTGGACAATAGGTCATTGAAAGTGGAAATAAAAAGTTGGAGATGAGAGGAGGCGGATTTCTGAGTTCGAGAGTTCGAGGCTAGCCTGGTCTACAGAGTGAGTTCCAGGACAGCCAGGGCTACACAGAGAAACCCTGTCTCGAAAAACCAAACAAAAAATAAAACAAACAAACAAAAAAAAGATGGAGATGAAGTTGGGGTTGGGTAGTGAAAGCTCTGGGAGGAGAAGTTTAGGTAAAGCAAGTGGGGTGAATAATAGGAAACCCATAGAGTAGGAGAAAATATTTTCCAACAATACATATAATAGAAGATTGTTTAAAGTCTGGGAAACAGATGACCTAATTAAACAATTGATTAGGGAGAAACATTTTGAACTATAATAGTGTCCTGTCTGCAGGACATGCTAGTGGCCTAATGCTAATGGGAGAAACTAACAGATACCTCATTTGACTTAAAGCCTACTTCAAGAGATGGAACTCACAGCTGATGCTGCCTGGGTGATCAAGAACCTGAAACTAGAGAGTTCAGGGACTTAGGGGGAGCCAAATACTATTGTTCTTTTTTTTTTTAAGTAACAATAAAATAACCCGTAGTGACATTTTGTTATACTCATGGATCAGTGCCTTACCCAGCTATTATCACAGAAGTGTCATCCTGCTGTGAATGGGAACACATACAGAGACCATGGCCAGATACTATGCAGAGAATGAGAGACCCTGGCACACTCAACCTTAAAGGGGATGTCTCCATCAAGTCTTTCCCCTTAGTGTTCAAGGAGCCCCATGGAAGAGGAGACAAAAAGAGTGTACCAACCACAGAGAATACAGAACACAAAGAAAAAAAGGCCCTTTAAATCAACACAATCACAGCTCAGTGAATTCTCAAAGACTGAGATAGGATGCACAGGACCTGCAAAGTCTGCACTGGTCCCCTGCGTATATATTATGGCTTTTAGTTTAGTGAATTTGTGGGATTCCTGAGTGTGTGAATGAATGGGTCTCTGATTCTTGTGTCCTCTCTTGGGAGTTTTCCCTTCTATTTGTTTTATTTTATCATATAATATTACATTACACTATATTATTTCTAATGAGAGACAGAAAGGGAGTGTATCCAGACGGGAGGAGAAGGAAGGAGGAACTGAGAAGAATAGAGGGAGGGGAAACCATACCCAGGATATATTATATAAGAAAAAATCCATTTATAATAAAAGGAAAAAAGTTTAAATTGGCTAGGGATTTAAGGAGGTCTCAGAAGAAATACATATGGCTCAGAAATATGTAAAGAAATGTTCAACATCCTTAGCAAATTAATGAAGTGAAAATTAAAGATTTCAACTTATCCCAGTCTCGATCAAGAAAATAACTAAGAACAAATATTGAAGGCTGTGTGGAAAGGAGCGCCATCATTCACTCTTTCTGGGACTTCAAATTGCAGTGTGCTATGTAGAAACTTCTCAGAAAGCACAACACAAATTCATTTTTATATCCTTCCTATACTACTCCTTAATTGCCCAAAGGACTAGGTATCCTGCTCCACAGATACTTACTCAGCCATGTTTACTGGTCCTCTATTTACAATAGCTAGGAAATGGAAACAATCTAAATAGTCCTTAAACTGATGAATAGATGGTAACTACCTGCCCAGTGGTGGTATCACTCAAAATGGCCTGGGACCTTTTACATCAGTTAATTAAGAAACTTGCCAGCAGGACAATCTTACAGAGGCATTTTTTTCAATTGTGGTTCCTTCTTGTCAGCTACTCTATTTGTATCAAGGTCATAACTAAGCTATCCAGGGCTGCCTTCCAGAAAAGAAAGTAAACACTGTTGCTGAACATAGCTTACACTTAGGAAAAAAGACTTGGAGGAATTGAAATGGAACCAACTGGGAAGCTTCTTTCCCAAGGATTAGCTCTTGAAGTATCCAAAGTCTTGGGGGACAGGGGTATGTGTTTGTGAACTAACCAATAGTGCTACTCACCATGTGCTGGCTTGATGTTTGTCAACTTGATACAAGGCAGAGTCATTTGGGAAGAAGTTTTGATTGAGAAATTGCCTGCCAGCAAGATTGTAGAGCATTTTCTTAATTAATGATATGAGAAGGTTCATCTCACTGGGGGCTGTGCCACCCCTTGGACAGTGATCTTGGATCCTGGATAAGAAATCAGGCTGAGGAAGCCATGAGAAGCAAGCTAGTAGACTCCTCCATGGTCTTTGGTTCCGTCCATGACTCTATGTTCGCCTTCATTTCCCAGGACTGTGATGTGTAAATCTAAATGAACAAAATCATTTCCTCCACAAGTGGCTTCTAGTTGTGGTGCTTTGTCACAGAAATAGAAACTCTAATTTAGACACACTTGTAATGTTTACTAACTGTAACAATGACCAGAATGGAAAAATATACCTAAGGTTAAAATATATATGGCGCTTATATCCCTGTAATAACAACAGCTGTCTATCTGGACTTAAGCCCTGCTTAATAGGAAGGGATTCATGCCCAGGAATGTAAACCTAATCAACTATCCATGGATGGTGATGTTGTAGACTCTAAAGGAGGATGACCTGTGACTGCCATTTTTTAAATGAGTATAATTCCCACTTGTACCCTACGGATTTATCTTAATATCATAGATAAGTGTAGCTCTCAACTCTCAAAGAAGATTCTCCAAAAAATATTTTAATAACTTTTTTGAGAATTTTGATCATATGACTATTGTGATCATACTCACTTCCCCAAAGCCATCCTAGCCCTTGTCCCTAACACCTGAAGTTTATGTTTTCTTCTTTATCTTTTTTTCTCACAGAAGAAAATATATCATAGCAGATGTCTTGTTCCTGTGGCTTGTGTTATCTTTTTGCCTCCTCTTCTGTGATGTTCCCTGAATTTTAGGCATAGGAACTGTGCTGTAAATACAGAACGGGAGGGTCAAGGAAATTAAAGAAGGGAGAGAATATGGTGGAAATGATTTAAATTTGTTACTCACATATGAAAATCTCGGTAAAATAAATGTCGATTGTAATTGAAGCTGGACAAGATACTCTTAGTTGTTTCTGAGATATTCTCTTGCAAAAGAAGAAGCTTCTTTGATATGAGTGTAAAAGGAATTTTAAGCAAATAGAAACTAATATAAAGACTTGCCAAATAAACTTCTTTTTCTTTTTCTTTTTTTAACATAGGTGTTTTTAAAATTTATTTTTATTTATGTTTTTAAATCAAATCATAATTTTTATTTATTCACACAGGGGTTATAAACACAAAAAGGGAGGATGTGGGGAAGGGGATGACACTGGAACGTGGGTGTTCAGGGGGAGTACAGATATCCTTCAGAACAGGGTATCAGCTGAATGAAGGTAATGGGGACAGGTCACTGTGACTCTGCCTATGATTCACTTGTCCTTCTTTTTCTAACAAATAAAGGCTGTCCCTGAAGAAGACAACTTTTCAGAGAACAGGGAACTGACCATGGGGAGTACATTCTCAATAGATACAGCCACAATACTAGCTAAACCCTAGGCTAAGGGGAACATCTCTGAAGAGGGCCAGAAAGAGTGTACAAACCACAGGAGAGCAAGGCTTGAAGTGAGATAATATTTTCTATACATGACAGGGAGTACACCAGAGATCATAACATGGTCTTCTAAACAAAACCATACAATGGCAAATACTAATGGACATTCCTTCATGGATGGGGGAAATCTCATAGGACCTCTCCAACAGATTACGAGCTACTGGCAATAAATGGCACCTAAAAGAAGGACAAACAGTCTTCTCCAGTGATTAGTGCTTGACACATTACCCAATTCTTAGTGGTAAATCTTAAAGTCATACACATAAGAACAATGCTAACTTGATTTATCAAGCTTTTAAAATCATGTCTGTTGACCAAGGAAGAGTTTATGTATTTGAGAGGGAAATGGAGGAACAAGGAAATTGGAGGAGAGAATATGAGGTAGAGATGATAAAATATAGAACTCATATGAAATTCTCAGTATAACAAAGCAAGTGTAAAAAATAGAGAAGTACAAAATGAAAGAGGACCTGAAGAAGGGGTGCAGGGATGTGGAAGTGGATCTGAAATAGGGGTGCAGAGATGTGGAAGTGGGTCTGAAATAGGGGTGCAGGGATGTGGAAGTGGACCTAGGAGGAGTTAGTGGGAAGGTTAAGGTTAGAATGATAAAAATACATTTGTAAAATTATCAAATAATTGACACAGTATTGAAAAGAAATGTTAGTTATTGCTGTATTTGTAATTGTGTAATTGATTTATTATTAAATCTATACAAGAATGCAAAGAGCTTGCTTAGTCAGTAAGAAATTCTCTAAAAATCTCTATGGAAAACACTCAGATTTAGTCACAACTCAGAAAATAAAATGAAATACCATCTTACTATTAGTTCTATTACATATTTATTTAAAAGTCTAAGAAACCTGAGAAAACAAGAAAACACTCAACTTTTAAAAAGCAAGTTCTGTTTATTTTTTAGTTCAGTGGGATGTCGTGATACAATGAAATTCTACTGAGATACAGAAGTTGCGTGAATTATATTAAAGAATTTTGCTGTTAGAGAAATATTAGCATCATAAACACTGAAGTATGAAGCACAGAAATGTAAATTATTCTGACCTTTACTATCAATGAGATGCAAGTGTTAGAATGGGGTGTGGGTGGGTAAAAGGACAGGTGTATACCTCAGCTCTCAGAATGGTTTATATGCAAGATACAAAAGATCATACAGAAACCATGTATGTCTAGCTAAAATTAGAGGTGTATTTTAAAATATGTGGTAATTAGTTTTTAGTTGAGAACTCACTTTTTTTTTTCATAAAAAGCCAACAGCAGTAAGTAAGTAACTGAGGAAAACAATCGTTCTCATAAAAACATTAGTTAATAAAGCTGAAGCACCTGTCTTTTATTTCAAAAAGATCTGCTGGCTAAATCACTTCTCTAAGGATAGCCCAACCCAAGAGCACTTAATCCTGTTATAAGAAACTGTAAAAGAATGTATCCATTAAACACACACACAGACACACAATGTGGAGGTCGAAAGCAAAGGCATGAGACTCATTAATCAAATCAGTGCATTTATACATACACTGTCCTTAGTACAAATAAGTAGTCTGCTGGCCTTCCTCATTTATAATCTGGAGAAGATATGGAAGCAACATATTTACTGTGTTTTCTTACTGTTTGTATGTAATGAGTTATTTAGCATGTAAATCAGACAAGCAGTATTAAAGCATTGACCGGATTTATACATTCAGCATTTATAAACTGTTCGTCACAAGGACATCCTGGTCATTAAATGGATTTTGAAAAAAAATATCAAATGAGATATAAAAATACAATAGGCAATTCCAGAGATCAGGATAAACATTCAGATATAATGCATGTGTAAATAAGAAAGTCCATACAAAATCTGCTGGGTAAGCAAATTAACAAGGTTTGTAAGAGATCAACTTTCTCTGGTACCTTCCTCCTATCTTCAAATATAAGTAGTTCCACATTGCCCAGTTGAGGGATGAAGAAATACCCACAGAAAATATAAACTGCCTATAAAGAGAATACATTTTATTTTATAATAAGATAAAATTCCCCATTGAGAACTTTATGAACTTTCATGCACATTGCAGATTGATGTTCTGGTGCATGCACACAAGAAATATTTTCTTTGCACATTAAAGCCCATTATTTCTGTGTACCTTTTGGCTCCTAAAGATGAAGAGTAAGAGTAGCTATCCTCTCTCCCAGAATCAAGTTTGTCCTGATGAAGAAGAGAGGGACAGATACAAAAGGTGTATTATGGTCTGTTGACAACCGAGGGCTTCATTTTCCTGTAGCTCACGTGCCTATAGTTGTAATGCTTGTATTTGTATATATTTATTTGGCTAATGAAGTAGAGATTTCAGAATAACCTAGTGTCCCAAGAAGCCAAGTTCTCAACTGGGACACATGTCAAGCCAGAGAAATATACTTGCTAATAACTGAAGGCTATGTTTAAGCAGAATGCAAATTTCTCTAATTCTGTTTTCAATTGATGATTTGCTTGATCCTCTATGTTGATGAATGTCGCGGAGCAGGAGAGCTTTCAAAGTACATGAAGTCCTGAAATTGAAGAAGGAATTACATTAAGATTGAGAGACGGATGGCAGATAGATAGAAATAATTACATTAATGCATATAATAGCCTTCAAAATTTATCCTGGGAGCATCCTATTCCAGTAAATAAGTCTAATGAAATATTTATGAGCGTGGCTAATGTGTGAGAATGCAGACAGATAATAAGCTTTTCATATTCAGCACCAATTAAAATGTTATCATTAACTGAAGGAAAACCTCAGTAAAGCCAGAGGAGGATGGAACACCGGTGAGCATAATTGCAGTTGACATACAAGAGAAAGGGGGCAGCTTTGTAGTTACTTTATTATATTAATTTTCACAGAACAGCTGTTTTGAAGTAATGAGAATGATAACCAATAGGAAATGAAACTGACTGCACCCACTATCTATCTGACACCTTCCAGGTGTGCCCCAGCAGACTAAGATCCATCACCCTGGAAAGGTCAGTATTTTTGTCCCTGCTACAAACGAATAAAGCTAGTCACCAAGTGCCAATCATATGCCTAGCAGTGGCACAGACAGAAGCTGGCCAGGTTTCGAAATGAATTTTCTGCTATAGAATACTGCTTCCCGACATAAGGAATGATTCTCTCAATGCCACAAGAAAAGGCTTACAATGAGGAAGCAAGAGCCGAAAATCATCGCTTTCATCTTCACGTCCAGGGCCAAAGGGAAGCAGATCTCGAAGTGGTCAGCATTTCCCATCGTTGACAAACAGCCATTCCACTTCCTGATAACACTGCCGATATTAGACACACCATCTAGAGAGTTGATCTGCAGTGCCAAGAACAGGAGTTTATCAACAGCATCATTGGACAAGTCTCTGTCTTTTTCATAGAAGCAGTTTTTGCATGATAATATATAATGAGGAACAAACTGTCAGAGACCAGGACCCCTAACAGGGACCCCTGCCAGCCTTCCCCC